AAGATCAGTTAAAATAAAATCCGCCTTGATTTTCTGTTTGTGATTTTGCTGATCTCAAGATCAGCAGTGATTTTCGACCGTTCCTGATTTTGGATTTTCTTGATTTTTTCCATCACTGATCATAGCAATAGTTGCACATTCGTGCAATTTTCACTAGTGACATTTTAGAAGATGATAAAGTCTAAAATGTAACAGATGCGTAGAAATATTTCTGATCGAATGGTGATAAAATTTTTGAAATTGGTCCAATGGCAGCTAAGTTATTAACGTTCAAAATCTTTCATAATTTTGTTACATGTTCCATTTTCAGTTTTCCAAAGTGTATAGAAATCACAGACGTAGTCCTACGTCAAAAAAAAATTGGGTTGTCAGAAGGAGATTCGCAATCTTGGCTGTGGTACATTTATCTTGCTAGAATTAAAAGGTGTAGAAAACTGCCAAAAGGGCCAACAAACTTGAAATACAAACAAGGAACACTCAGATATTGCTGTAAAGGTTCGCCTTCTTTAGGAAGGTGATGAGGGCGGCTGCTGCCGGGAACTCGTAGCCCAACAGGTTCCAAATGCTGATTGACTCCAAGCCGAAGGCACTCCGCAGGTTTCGCAGGTCCTCCGGAACGGTGTTCCTCCGAAATTGTGGGAGACTCTGCTGTGCCTGGTGCGTAGCCTTGACACCACTCGTTGTTCTCTTAGGTTTAGTCGATCCCTTCAGGTTCCGGTGGTCGCCTTGATCTTCCGAAGATGGTGTGTCCTGTTGTTCCTCCACTCGGTGTCCCAGGCTCTTCGAACCGTCCGCTTGATCCACGTTTTGACATCTTGGAGCGGTACATTGTCGGTGGACCTGGGTTCAGTGTGCCTGAGCCGGCGAGGTGGTCGGCCGTTACGTTCCCTTGGATCCCGCAGTGACCGGGTACCCACATGAATACAGTGTTGGGCGGCGCATGCTTTACCGTCCCTTGGATCCACGGATGCTTCGGTGTTTCTGTTGTGAGTCAGTTGAGACTAATATCGGCCGGTTGGCCGGTAACTTAACCGCGTGTAGAATGGCCACTGCCTCAGCTGAGAACACCGAGCATTGGGTCGGAAGCGATCTGCTAACAAGCAGACCATCTCCGGAGACCCCCATTCCCACTCCGCTCCTGGAGAGAGAGCCGTCGGTGTACCTAACTTCATAACCTTGGTAGTGCGCCCCGAGAGATTCGACAACTTTTTTTTTTTTTTTTTTTTCTTTATTTAAGAGATTTTTAGCCTTAGGCTAGTTCATCTCTAACAAGATTCGACAACTGTCCGGCGTAAAGCCAGCGAGTTGTCTCCTGCCCTGAAGCGGTCCTTGATTCGGCTGTCAAATTTGTTCTTGTGCGATTGCCAACGTTTGTGTCCGTGCCTGTGGACCCTGGCTACTGGAGGGAGATCTACGTCGGTGGCCGTGCGGAGGAGTCGGTTCGCCTCGTCGAGGAGAACGATCCTGTTGTTTTACGACGTTTTAGCGAGAAAGGTAGCGGCTTTGGTTACCGATTGGATACCGGCTTCAACGCATGCAGCGTCGGCCGGGGTAGAGGGCAGGAGACCGGAGACTGTTCGAACGTAGCCGTTGTACACCGGTTCCAAAATCTGGACGGCTTTCTCGGCGGCAAGGCATGTAATCTCTACACCGTACAGTAGACGACTGTCGATGATGGCTCGAGCTACGTGGAAGCGGATTTCGCGATTGTTGGATCGGTGGGGGTGGGAGATGGTCTTAATCAGGTTGGACCGATTGCGACAGTTTACTTGTTGGAAGTGTGGCTCAAAGGATAAATTCCAATCGAGGAGCACTCCCAAGACCCTCACGGTGTTTTTGGTCGGTATTGCTTGTTGTTTAATCATGATGGGCGGTCCGTTGTTGCGATGCCTGGTGGTACATATATGGCAGCGCACGCTCTTGTCGGCGGAAAGCTGGAAACCAACAGAGTCAGCCCATCTGACCACCGAGTGCGCTCTCAGTTTCGTCCTCTGCAGGGTGGGACCCACCGTTACAATGAGGACGTCATCCGAATAGACGAAGATGTAAACGTTCTTGGGTAGTTGGTCAAAGACCCCATTCATGGCCACCAGGAAAAATGTGACCACGATCACAGAGCCCTGTGGCACTCCGGTTTCCTCACCGAAACTTCCGGATTGCACGTTTCCGACCGAACCCCGAATGTTCCGGACGAAGTGAAGGATGTGTCCTTTCAGGCCCCAATCAGCAAGCTTCTTCAATACAGCTGGTGTCCATGTTCGGTTGAACGCTTTGGAGATGTCCAGCGAGACGATCTCCGCGTGATGACCTTGGTCCTATGCCTCCTTCAGGGCCTCCCCAAGAGTGGCGAAGTAGGTGGAGGTGCCATACCCTTACCTGAAGGCGTGCTGCCGATGGTCAAGCAGCCCCTTGGCCTCAAGATATTGCTTCAGCCTCCTGTTGACCATCCGTTCCAGGACTTTGGCCATGCAGCAGGCTTTCTCTCCATTTTTCCGGGTATTTTTCAGCGGTCCAGAGTTGGTTGTAAAGGTCGAGAAGTTTCGTTTTGTCTTTGGGTGGAAGGTGCTTTAGCAGCTGGTAGCCGATTTCGTCCGGTCCGGCCGAGTTCCCGTTGCTCCGACTGAGAGCGACCACGAGTTCTTCCCAGGAGAGCGGGCTGTTGATTGGTAGGTCGTCGTTGTCTGGAGGAATTCCGAAGGCAGACACAGAGGACAGAGAGGGTCCGACTCGCTGTCGGAAGCTTTCGCTGAACTCCGAGATGCCGGATAGCTTGTCAAAGTATTTGCCCAGTTCGTCTGCTACGATGGTTGGATCAGTGATGGTGACGGTGTCTGTTCGAATCTGGAGCGGACATGATCGCCGCTTGTCGCTAAGGGCGTTAAATGCGACTCCATAGCTCCGCTGACGATTGTTCGGCGTTGATACTCTCCAGAAAGTCCGACCAGCAATTTTGCTTCGCCGTCCGGATCTCCTGTCGGCATTTGTTGGGCTGCTGGCCATAGTTCGCGAGGACCTCTTCTCTTAATAAGTTAATAAGAGTCGCAGCGAGAGAAAATTCTACTGGAGCTTTGTCCAGCAGAAGATAGAGACGTTTCTTGAGGGGGAGTGGATCACTCCTGTGAATTCGCTTGTCCACGAAGAGGCGGAAAGTCCTCCGCCCTGAAAGCTGGGGCCTTATCCTTCCTTCGTCCAGGTTGATTGTTGGTAGATGCCTGTTTTCGGATGCGCTTGAAATCCTCGCGTTTAGGGCACTGCAATTGCCCTGTCCAAAGTTCTGTGCCGTGTCCAAAGTTCAGACACCGTTGGCACTGAGTCACATTGCGATGGCCGCCACGGTATGGCTCCGAGCGGACGATGATGGAATTGATGGAGCGCATGGCTTTCAACACGTTGAGTGTCACCGTTCTCTTCTGGAACTGTACCAGGAAAAGGCAATCCGGATACGCCTTCACATTCTCGTTCATCCTTGTCATCCGATAGACGGCACTTGGGGCCAGCTAGCTGGTTCCTGTTTCTGATTTCAGCTTTCCTCTGTCTCTAGTCTATGACTACTATCTTATTCTTCGGCCGATAGACTCCAATCGTTTCAATCTGGTTGGCAGATCATCAGCAGCTGTAGCTTAACTCTGGCGCTATGCCGCTCCCATCCAACAACCTCCACACTTAATTTTTGTTTGCCATGATGGGCACCACCACCGAGATTCAGCTAACAAACATAAATTTTGGTGAAAATCATTTGCTCCGGCAACCACCTCAGCCGCTGATCCGGAACACTTCCTAAACGTTGAACTTCCCCGGAAAGGTACCTACACAATCGAAGTTAAACAATCCTTCGGTTTCCCATTCATATAACCACGTTAAAATTAACGTCTCTCTTTGGTATCGACAGATAATGAGCACTACAGTTATACGATCGAATTCAATGGTGTGATCGGTCTATGGACCCTGGGGTATCCGAAGTGGTCCTCCAAAAGACTCGGGTCATCCGTAAAAGTGATCAGTTCACAGAACTGGTTCTTGAACTCTGCGGTTATTTTCGAAAACACTTGTTGATAAGTTATCAGATCGAGTTCAATTATGTGGTCGGTCTATGGACCCTGGAATACCGGAGGTGGTCTTCTGGAAGATCCGGAACATCCGTAAAAGTGGTCAGTTTAATGAACTGATCCCAGAACTCTGCGGTTATTTACAAAAACACCTAATGATAAGTTATAAGATTTGATTCAATGATGTGATCTTTGTGGTCTTTGAACAATGGGGTACCCTAGGGTGTCCTCCGGAAGATTCGGAACATACGCAAAAGTGGACAGATCATTGAACTGATCCAAAAGCTCTTCGGTTATTTGCGTCAACAAGTTATAACATCGAATTTAATGATTTGGCCAGACTATGGACTTGGGGTTTCCTAGGGTGTCCTCCGGAAGATCCGGAATATCCGTAATTGTGATCAGTTCTTTGAACTGATCCCAGAACTCTGCGGTTATTTTCGAAAACACTTGTTGATAAGTTATAATATCGAATTTAATTATGTGGCCAGGCTATGGAGGTCCCTGAAGTGATCCTTCGGAAGATACGGAACATCCATAACAGTGGTCAGTTCATTGAACTGATCTTAGAACTTTTCAGCTATTTTCTACAACACGTGATGATAAATTATAGAAGTTAATTCAATTATGTGACCGGTCTATGGACCCAGATGGGATACCCGATACCCGAGATACCCCAGAACTCTATGGTTATTTACAAAAACACCTAATGAAAAGTTATAAGATTGAATTCAATTATGTAGCTGGTTTATGGACCCTGGTGGTTTACCCATGGTTGTTATAAGCGCCAGAAAGGTCAATTAGCGACCAGTTTTTAAGAATAGAAATACGTCTCGTTAATCAGCCTGTGTGGCTCCAATGCCAAAGATGGTGGAAAATAAATAAACTAATCTTAAGAAACACAACAATTCCAACCCCACAGAGAATCAAAACACACCAAGCTAGCACACTTACCTTGCTGCCATTGTGCCTCTTCTCCACGGAGCTCGTCTTGGAGTCGCCATCTGCAAAGGAAAGGGGAAGAAAAAGAACAATAAGAAGGAGAAAAGTGCTTCGTTACTACTTTTCATGATTGCTATAAACAATGGGGAAAAATTGCGCCCCAAAGCACCAACCGACATACATGTCACACCGATTTCCCATTGCGATAAAAGCAACTGACTGCGTCTACTTAGGGTATGATTACAAAAGTGACTCTTTCCCTCTCTGGAATTTGAATGGTGCTGTTTGCGCTTCGCCCGGATTCGGTGAACCAAAACATTTCCTTTCTAGCGCGTGGAACACTCGAGTGTGAAAATGGGAGCCACCTTACGAAAGACGCTTTTTTTCCCTGGCAGCCTTGAAACCACCTTCGACGGCGTTGTCGGTGCCATCATCGCTTGTCGCCAGTTGCGACAGCGAGGGATACGAAAGCGACCGCAATTGTTGTTTTTACTACGTATAAAGCACGATGGTGCGCGGTTGGCACTTGAGTCAAACTAACGGGACAAGACAAAGACAAGACATCTAAGACTGCACGCTATTTCTAAACTACGCAAATTTGCGTGCGATCTACCCAGATTGGTCAAAACTGAACCTACCCAACAATGGGTAAACTAAGTTGGAAGTGACAGGTTGACAAATTGACATTTCAAGCTGTACATTGCATTAGGTCCTAAGTAACATTGACAGATTCTCTTCATCGATTTTCTCTTTCTTTTAAAAACTTGGGTATAGAACCGTTTCTTGTCGTGTTTTTCGTATTAGAAGATAGATAATAGCTTCTTTCATCGATCTGTGGGCTGAAAATAGCTGGGAACGTCTCAACATGGCCGTGAGTAAACAAAGAGAAAGTCGTCGAAGAGAATCTGTCAATGTTACTTAGGACCTAATGTAATGTTCAGCTTGATCTGACCAATGCACGGAATGAACTCATGAAAAAAGTTGGAAGGGTTGTATACTAGATACGACCGCAGGGTTGGCGTTGGATAACGTCTGTTATGTGTTGTACTTAATTGTGTATATTATATTTTAGGAATATTCCTTAATAACTCTTTTGCGAAAGTTTGGTGGCCCTGAAAAGGGCCGTTTTGTTGGGCTGATGTTGTTGGGTTTGCTCTACTCTGTCGCCCTGGAGGAGCTTTGGAATGATGTTGGTAGTTCGAAGACAGACAGCATCTCCCCTTCCAGCGTTCCCACACCCCAGTATAGTCCCCAAATTTAAGTGTAACTGTGATATTCCGGAAAGAAATTGTCTTCAAAACTAACTCTTTGTCGAATTATTGGTGGCCCTGAAAAGGGCCGTTTTGGTTGTGGTTTTGGAATGATAGACTGAATAAATGATTATGTTTGAAAAATTTCAGTTTTTGCTCCGATCAACAACCATTTATTTATTTATTTATTTATTTGTCTGCATCAACAGGCTGTGTAAAGCCCCAATGATGATTTAAGTAACTTATATAGGTAAATCAAAAAAATAAAAACTAAGAATAAAATACATCAATAAAACACACAATCATTCACGGTTAACTGTGCCAGAAAAGAACGATGAGAAGTATCTTCGTAGCAGCTGTCGAGGCATATGGAAATCGAAGATGCCCGAGACTCGATTGAACATTCGTTGCAGCCCACCTATTGCACCGTTCATGCCATAGTTTGTGCGCTGAAGTGGCAATCTCAGCATAACGTTGTTACGTAGCGCACGGGGTTGGACGTTAATGTTGACTTGCCCCAAGATTGCACTGCAATCAATTCTACCTTGTAAAGTGTCCACAATGAACAGGGCCCTAGAGGTGTCTCTTCTAGTTCGGAGAGGCTCCAGATCAATCAGCTGGCAACGACTTTCATAGCTGGGCAGATGAAATGGGTCTCTCCAAGGCAGCTTCCGCAGAGCGAATCGAAGAAAACGGCGTTGAACGGACTCAACTCTCTCAGCACCATTGTTGTAGTTTGGACTCCAGACCGTAGAACAATATTCCAGAATGGATCGCACCAAGGAACCGTACAGTGACTTCAAACAGTAGATATCGGTGAAATTCTTTGCTATCCTGAAGATAAATCCCAATGTCCTAGACGCCTTGTCGACAACGTACGAGATGTGCTGCTTGTACGTAAGTTGAGAATCTAGAATAACACCAAGATCTTTCACATGGTTCACACGGTCGATTACAGTGCCGATAAGTTTGTATTCAAATGTGATTCGTTCTTTCTTCCGAGTAAAAGTGATCACTGAACACTTAGTGGGGTTAACCACCATTCGGTTCAAATTACACCAGCTGGCAAAGGCTTCGAACTGACGTTGAAAGAAGTGACAGTCATCAATCGAGTGGATTCGTAGGTAGATTTTAAGATCGTCTACATACGATAGTCGTGGGCCTTTGATGACCAAGTTCACGTCATTGAAGTAGAGTAAGAAAATGAAAGGTCCGAGGTGACTTCCTTGAGGTATTTCTGACGTAGCTAGATAGATATTGGACCGGTTGTCACCAATGGCAACCATGAGTTGCCGATCAGTGAGATATGAACGAAACCATCGCAAGAGGTTGCCGCTGACCCCAAGTCTATGCAACTTGGCAATCGCGATGGCATGGTTTAGCTTATCGAAGGCAGCTGACAAGTCGGTGTATATGACGTCTGTTTGAGTCCTCTCTGCCATGCTTTCCGTAAGATACGATGTCAAACACAGCAGATTTGTGGAAGTAGAACGACCGGAAGTGAAGCCGTGTTGATCACCACTTAGATACTGCTTACAATGAGAAAGTAGAGGCTCCATGATGACTAACTCGAATAACTTCGAAACTGCGCTCAACGACGTAATTCCACGATAATTGTCCACATCCCGGTTGCTGCCCTTTTTGTGGATAGGAAACATATGTGCGAATTTCCAACAAGATGGAAATGTACCACTCGAGATGGACTATCGAAATAGGTGAAGCATGGGCATCAGTAAGCTGGCGATATGCTTTTTCAGGAATACGGATGGAACGCCATCGGGTCCTGGATTGAAGGACGACTTGAGTTGTGATGCGGCAGTGGAAATCATCTCGACGTTGACATCCATCGCACCCAGTGTTTAACCGTACAGTGAAACATTACTAGCTGTTAGGGTAACGTGTTCGTCAGTTAATCTCTCATTCGTGAAAACACTGGCGAACTTCTCAGAAAACAAGCGACAGATCTGCTGAAGAGTGGAAGCAACTGCTCCATTCAACACCATTGAAGAAGGTAGGCCGGATTCCTTGCGCTGCTCATTTACGTAATTCCAGAAAGACTTCGGGTGCGACTTGAGTTTCATCTGAATCCCTCGTTGATATCGCGAATAGCATCGACGGCTAACTCGCTTGAACTCATAATTGAGCCTAACGTAGTGACGTTTCAGCGAAAGCGTACGATACTTAGTGAATTTTCTTAATGCGGCTCTCTTGGTCGACTTCAACCTACGCAGTTCACTCGTCTGCCAGGGGGGGATGAGAAATTTTACGGTGAACTCTTTTCGGAACGTGCCTGTCAATGACATAAGCCAAGACATGTGAAAATGTTTGCGCAGCGGTTTCAACATTATCAGGATCGAGGATGCTCTCCCAATCTATACTAGATAGCACGTTGACGATACTACGGTGATCGGCTTTCCGGAAATCGTATGACATGGTCGTGGAAATGTCGTCAAAGACCCGATCGTGATTGTCAGCAACAGTGACAACCAAGGGAGAGTGATGATGTACTTGCTTTACTAGTGGAGAAGGTGCCATGGAGATGAAAGGAGCGGTGTCCTGAACGCTAACGAAGCAGAGGTCCAGGCTACGGTTGTTTTCGTTGACTACGTGGTTTATTTGAGATAGTGTTGCTGTACTATAGCAGTCGAGAAGGCTAACTGATCCTGTATGAAATACAGAGTGTACAGGGTCTGGGTAGAGAAAGCCGCTGTAAGATGGTTTCCAGGAAACACCGGGTAGATTGAAGTCACCCAGAACGATTATCTCATCAGTTGGTGTCGCACTCTCCATTATGGTGAAAACGGACCGGCAATGGGTATCGATAAGTTCGTTGTCACGAACCCGGTCAGGTGCAATGTACACCGCACATAGGTACAGTGTGCGATCGCTCAGTTCTACGGCCACCCAAACTTGTTCCACACAGTTCCACAAGACGTTTTCAATAGCTCTCGCCTTTAACCCGGAACGAACTGCCACGAGAACACCACCTCCAGTAGATTTCCGACTGTTTTTCGGATTTCTGTCACAGCGGAAAACCTCGTATTCGGATCCGAACACCTGGATGGAAAGCGTTCGAGAATCGAGCCAAGTCTCGACAAAAACGATGACATCGTAGCACCGGTCCGATACAGCTAGGTGGTAGTCAAGAACACCAGAATTCATTCCGCCTACGTTTTGGTAGTAGAAAATGACGTCGTGTTTACTACGGTCGGTGGTCGCACGAGGTAAGGCGTTTTCCCTGGAAGTCATGGAAATATCAGGTGGCGAATGGTCATGAACAATCTCAAGTGGATACTCGCCGTAGTGAGTAGGTTGGAAGACCCCCTCTCCACATCCAACCACAGGCCCGGAACGACTATGAAGATCGGAGGCGGCAGATGGCAGGACTGGGTCAGAGGGATTGGGGGCTTCCACAATGCTTTCTACAGCGCGTCCCAGGTTCCAATTAACAGGAGTAGAAGCATTTCCTCGATCGGTGACATCCAGAGTGCTGAAATTCAACTCGGCATCAGGCAGCGAATGTTCAGAATAATATTTGTACTTGCCTGACATAGCAAGTTGGAAGACCCCCGATCCACATCTAAGCTCAGGGCCGGGACGACATTGATGTACGCTGGCAGGAATCGGCACGACTGAGTTAGAGGAACCGAGGACTTCCCAAGTGCTTTCTACGGTGCGTCCCGGTTGAAAATACTCATCGTTCGTTCCTGCGATGCGTCTATTTGTCCGAAGTGCAGCAGCAACAGGATTCACTTCATCATGGTCCGGACAGCTAATGATAACCTAGGTGCGGGAAAACTCGTCACGCAACG